TAGTCTCTCTCTCTCTCTCTCTCTCTCTCTCTCTCTCTCACACACACACACACACACACACACACACACACACACACACACACACACAGTCAATTTATTAGTTTGAAGGTCAAAGCAGGAAAAAGAGCAGGAGATGGGCAACAGCTCACCATGACCATTCTCAATGATCCCAAGTCCTGTCCATGTTATAGATATGTGTGAGTAACCGTACAAATCATACCAACACAATGCCTGGATAGCACTGTCCTCTGCAGCTCTCAAAGATCTTTACCAAGGTGAGTGAAAATCTTTCTTCTCAGTTGGGGGAGAATTTGCCCACATGAGTCAACAGCAGAGCCAAGTAGAGAATTCAGCTCTCCTGAATCTCTGTTTGTTGTTCTATCCAGGCTGGCTCAAAGCATGGCATATATCGCTATCAAAAGTAGGCCACTTGATTTACAGCTTCTACTTTGTGTTATGTTGAGGTGGAATAACATAGTGGCAATTTTGGGCTCTCCCCAAGCTAGGATCAGTTTGAGAGACACGGAGATGCCAGAGTCATGTTGACTGGAATGTCTCATTACTATAACAAAAGGATGAAGGTGAAGGAGGAAAGGCGGATGAGGGGATAGGGGGATAAGAGTAAGGGGCACCTCCAAGAGTAATCTCACGGATGCTCCCCAAATCTTAGCTCTACACAAGAGTTAATTGCTTCTTAGGGGTTACCTTCTTCTGCATCTTCTCCAGCAGCTTGCTCTTGGCTCGCACCTCTTCTTGGATGGAGTCATAGACATTGAGCAGGACCCAGTCACTGCTGTCCTCATCAATTTTCTGCAGAGCTGCCACCAGTTGCTTCTTCCGTTCATCTGCATATTTTTTCCGACATTTGTGCTTTTCCTTCAGGTCCTTGTTTTTGGCCTGTTCTCCTCCAACCACTTGTTGTTCCAGCATGTGCAGCCTGGAAGAGTTGGACATATTTCTTAGATCTGTAGCATAAAGGAACATCTGCACATATGCAAATGATACACTTCCATGGCAAATGCCTAGAGACATTTTAAAAGATACAATAAACAGACAGTGATTTCTGTTGAAGTGAGTATTCAGATTTGTTGATTTAAGGGGTGAGTGACAATGGGGAGCCTCTGTTTTAAGATTTACTTTGTGTTGTGATGTTCACCAAAGCATGAGCTCAGTGTATGTATCTTTACATACATCCTGAATGTATTCACCATTAGGTATATCTAGAAATCTTGACATTTATGGCCCTGTATTTATGAAGTAAAAGAGATTTTTTTTTAAATGAACATCCTAATCCTTATTCTTTGTTTTGAAACTTGTTGTTTAGCCCCAAGACTGATACAGCATTAGGATACAGACCATCCCAACATCGTTTGTAATTTATTTTCAGTGGGTGGGCTGAAGCAGATGTAGTAAAGGGAGCAATTTCCATACACTGGGGCTGCCACATCAAAGGCTTGGTCTCTTGCTGACCTCAGGTCAATAGTGAAGCCCCTGAAAGGCAGGGAAATATCTGCCATGACGATAAGACAAATGCCCTTCTGTGAATCACACAACAAATTGATGCCCATGCAGCATGAGGAAACAGGTACCTGCACTGAATTACTGAATATTTTGTGCACAGGAGGAAAAAAAAACCTGTTCCCCTAACAACCCTTCAACAGGTCATTTAAGGTGATCGCCCCCTTGGGAATGTTAATATTTTTACTACAATCCCTGGCCTATGCTGAGGATTTGAGACATTGGTTGCCAACCCCTCGTGTAATTGCACTGGTGTAGAGAGGCTAAACTGCTCTAAGTCACTCTTCACACTGGTGGAGCTTATCCTGGTTGAACCTGGGGTAAGCTGTACCTTACAGCCGTTCACTTTTTCTACACGGGGGTTTGCACTGCTGCTGCTCTATCAGAGGCTGGCCAATGGGGGCCAATAAGGAGAGAATGCCAGAGTAGACATGACCTGTGATGATACTATCCTCTGAACTGTCTTTTCTTCGATCAGAGCATGCAAACCCATTCCTAAAGAACTCAGGTTTCCCAAGAGGAAACTGGCTCTTTCTGCGCCACTGGACCTCCTGTCTCAATAACTTGAGTTTGATATGAAACAATTTAGCCCTCAGCAGCTTTTGTTTAATGCCCAATTGAATTGAAACAGTAGCAGATAGTCCGCAGACATCCTGAGCTGTAAAGTCTTTCCAAGGAGGCTTTGAAAATCCCATCTCCAAGGACCTCTGCCTTGCCTGATATGCAAAGAACTTTGATGTTTAACAATGTAATTGTAGGAGTGAGTTTCCTTTCCTTGGGTGTTAAGCAAACTAAGCTCTGCAAGGGAGTGTTGAGATTTGACACAATCAATCAGAATAATTTCTTTGGAGCTGTCTCAGCCTGTGATAAATAAAGGGGGGTGGAGCTCCCTTTGATAGACACCCAGTCAGCCAGTTAGCTGTAAAATCCCTCTTGGTAGCTGTTCTCTGCTTGCTTTACCTGTAAAGGGTTAACAAGCCCACAGGTAAAAGGAAAGGAGTGGGCACCCAACCAAAAGAGCCAATGGGAAGGCTAGAACTTTTTAAAATGAGAAAGAAACTTTCCCTTTGTCCCTTGTTCTCCGGAGAAGCCGGAGCAGAGCAGCAATGCTATAAGCAGAAATGCTGTGTAAGTTTTGAACCAGGTATGAAAAATTAGCTTCCATACCTAGAAGGAATCATTTGGATAGGGAACAGATAGATAAATGCAATCAGGTTTATTCTTTATTTTGGCTTGTGGCTCTCCTCTGTGCTAACCCCGGATGCTTTTGTTTGCTTGTAACCTTTAAGCTGAACCCCCAAGAAAGCTATTTTGAGTGCTTAATTTTTGGAATTGCTCTTTTAAAATCTAGCAAAAGCCTAAGTTCCAGATGTCTTTTCTTTCTTTTTGTTTTTAATAAAACTCACCTTTTTTAAGAACAGGATTGGATTTTGTGTGTCTTTAAGAGGTTTGTGCCTGTTGTTTGATTACCTGGTAGTAACAGCTAATTTCCTTTGTTTTCTTTCTCAGCTCTTCCCCGGAAGGCTTGAGGGTACCCCACAGGGAGGATTTCCCAAGTCCTCCTTCCTGGGTTCAAAGGGTTTTTTTTGCATTTGGGTGGTGGCAGTGTTTACCAAGCCAAGGTCAGAGAGAAGCTGCAACGTTGGGAATTTAATACAAGCCTGGAGTGGCCAGTATTAATTTTTAAAGTCCTTGTGGGCTCCCACTTCCTGAACTCGGAGTGACAGAATGGGAATTCGGCCTTGACACAGCCTAACAGGCGAATAGCTTATCATTTACAAATTGCACCCCCTTGTATATTTTAATAGCCTGTTTGAGCCTCAGAGATGCCCAACAGAGAAATGTGCAGTAGAGAAGCCCTTGGGAAACCTTCTGGAGAAGCAGTTACAGCAGAAGGCCATTTTCAGAATGAAGCAGCATTCAACACTTGAGAGTTTAATATAAGGGCACACAATTGCCTCAAAAACCAGTGGAACCCACGAAGAGTGAATCAGGATATAGTGAAACTCCACTAGTGGAGAATTGGCAGCAAGTCCCATATTGTTTCAATGCGCTGTCATTCTGCTTAAAGGGACTTTCCTGTCAGGCCCTCTCCAGGGTAGAGTAACAACTGTCCTCGCTTACAGACAACCCCCCAACCTAAAGCAAATACTCACCAGCAACCACACATCACTGTACAAAAACACTGACCCAGGAACCTATCCTTGTAACAAAGCCCGATGCCAACTCTGTCCACATATCTATTCAAGTGACATCATCATAGGACCTAATCACATCAGCCATACCATCAGGGGCTCGTTCACCTGCACATCTACCAACGTGATATATGCCATCATGTGCCAGCAATGCCCCTCTGCCATGTACATTGGCCAAACTGGACAGTCTCTAGGCAAAAGAATTAATGGACACAAATCTGACATCAGGAATCATAATACTCAAAAACCAGTGGGAGAACACTTTAACCTGTCTGGCCATTCAATGACAGACCTGCGGGTGGCTATCTTACAACAGAAAAACTTCAAAAACAGACTCCAACGAGAGACTGCTGAGCTGGAATTGATATGCAAACTAGATACAATCAACTCAGGATTGAATAAGGACTGGGAATGGCTGAGCCATTACAAACATTGAATCTATCTCCCCTTGTAAGTATTCTCATACTTCTTATCAAACTGTCTGTACTGGGCATGGCTGCTACTCTGAAACCTGTCATTTTTCAATGTTTTCCCAAATGTCACAGAAAG